CAGTTTATTCTGGCATAGCCATGGATACACGAAAAAAAACATTGCTAGTGCAAAAGTTTGTAACAAAATAAAAACTGCGTTTGATTAAGAATCTAGGCAGATAACTTTGTCAACATGTCCATAGAGGCAGTATGTCTCATGTAGAAAGAATTTAGACAATGAGGAAAACAATCACATAACTAATGAAATTAAACGACAATGTGATCAATTATTTGAATGACTATATGATTTGAATTTCGTTCATACACTCATAACAATGTCGTCTGAATCACGTACACCGGATTCTAGTCAAACGATTTATAGCTGACTAGTGCGTGAAGATCAAGAAACTCTGAAAAACGTTTTGCGAAATATGAACTATAAACACGAAACTCCAACTCCATTTTCGCACACCGGCTGTTTTTCAAAAAGTAATATTGAAATGTTGTGCGAGATACGGACTTTTTTCAAGCAGTTTTCTTTTGAAATTAATAGTGCATTTCGCACTGATTGAAAATCTGCAACAGTTTTTCCTTTGGTATCGGATTTCTTATGTTCAAAGCAAATTTCACACGCTAAATCAAAAATATAGCACTCGCCACCACTTCAAAAATAAAGGAGTTATCTTTGATCCAATTACGGAACGATTTCTACCGACAAACAAGGAAGATATAACCCTAAGTAAGAAGTTCGTGGCTCTAGCACGCCAAGAAAACGTCAGTGGTATTGACATGAAGAGAATGACTAATTAATTAAAACAGTTAGTCATATACAGTCATATAGCTTACTTTTTCTGTTTTTATAATTTCGCTCCTCGAACAGAACAGTGTGCATCCGAATACGTTTTGTCACCTTTATCAGTTTTGTTTTACCTACTTGAGGAGTGCATCTTTCCTTCTTAACTTTTTCCGTTTATCAGGTGTTTTTCATTCCTTAATCAGAGAATCAAAAATTCACCTAGTAGTAAAAAAAAACTATTAGTCGAAATGTTTGTCTCAACTACATTGGATGAAAAAGATATACAATAGGTATTTGACTATGGGGAATCAGAAATTGATTATAAGTGAGTTCTACGGTTTATCCCATTGGTGGAAAACATAATTTCCACTTGGCTAGATAAAAATGATATGGAATAGGTAGTTGACTATGGGAATCAGAAAATCACTATGAGCGACCTCTAGGATCGATTCTATTGATCGAAATATTTATCTCAACTACGTTGGACGAAAATGGGGAATCACCTTTTATTGAAGTAAAAGAATTCACATCAGTTGATGGTGTGTACGAGTAGAATAAAAAATACAATAAGCCTACTATTTATAACAATATTTGTGGAACATTTATAAATATATCAGAACAACCTGAATTTATATTATCTGACTGAAAATGGATGACTAAATGCAAATAATATTAAGAAATATTCACAACAGTCTTCTCTTCTTTTCATTTTTAATCAACTGTTTAGCCGCTGTTATAAACATTTGTTCCATATTCTCTCCCATTAGTGTACTTGTTTCAAAATATGGAATATTTAATACTTCAGCATACTGTTTAGCTTCTTCGTGTTCAACTTGTCGTTGTTGTTCATCAATTAAATCACATTTATTACCAATTAATATTTTAACAACATTGTCCTCAATACAAGCCATTTGCAACCATAGTTGAAGATTTTTAAACGAATCTTTGTTTGTAACATCAAACAATAATAGATAACCGTTGATTTTCTCATGTTTTAAGAACAGTCTCAAATAATCACCATCATATAAAAAATCTGCGAAATTATCATCACCACCGGTATAATCTATAAGTCCTAGACGAACTTTAGTTTTATCGTCTAATGCTTACTATACTTAACTTAACTTTTACTATAATAAAAATCATTTGACAAAACTTCTCTTTTTATTGTCTTTCGCCGCCACAACAGAAGTGGGAAAATTCCAGGCAAGGCCTTATAGTGCCGCATGTATTTTTCCCATTGCGTCATCAAGATGCCGAAATTGGTACCACAGAATGAAGCATTCTTTTCTTCATCTTTTCTCGCACATGCAGTA